GGCCCCACCCTCGGAGTTCAAGATTTGAAAGAGTTCTGATTAAAACAGCCAGGGGTGTCCGAGGCCCCACCCCCGGAGTTCAAGCTCACTAAGAGGCGGAGATCGAAAATTCATGAGCGCTCCATCAGTCCAGGGCCTCCTCCTCTTCAACATCTGTCAAAGCTTTGATTTAAGAATCAGGGGTGCCCCATCAGTCCAAAGCCCCACCCTCGGAGTTCAAGGATCCGTAAGGGTTCTGATTTTAAAATCAGGGGCGCCCCGCCCCGTCAGAGTCCAAGGCCCCACCCTCGGAGTTCAAGACCTGTCAGGGTTCTGACTCAAGAATCGGTCAGTAGTCATAGATTTCAGAAGACTTTCAGAAGAACAAAGACACAACAACAAACCCAAAACAGTTCCGAAGTGCGCGTCAAATTCCGGGTGCACGCACAAGAGCACGTCAATTGAGTCGAGATTCGTGGTCGTTCGCCAAAAAATCCGCTGAATAGGATGCAATATAACCCCACGTGAAATGTAAAAACTCTCTCTGACTGACAGTTGAAGAGAATTCGCAGGACTGCGGGAACTGCTGCCAGCAATGAGCCACAAAAACCTGGTACGACAGGCACTGCCCGGAAATCGCAGGCTGCAAAACCAAGGTAGCAACCAGGCTGCAACAGCCACAGGGTAGTATTGCCTGTGTGCCAGGCTGTAGGCAGAGTTCCAGCGCAATTCCAGCGCAATTCCAGCGCAATTCGGCGCAATTCGGCGCAATTCGGCGCAATCGGCGCAATTCGGCGCAATTCGGCGCAAACGGCGCAATTCGGCGCAATCGGCGCAATTCGGCGCAAACGGCGCAATTGGCGCAATTCGGCGCAAACGGCGCAATTGGCGCAATTCGGCGCAATCGGTGCTTTCCAGCGCATTCCAACGCATTCGGCGCATTCCAGCGCAATCGGCGCATTCCAGCGCAATCGGCGCAATCCAGCGCATGGCCATCTGCGGCCACTGAGCCCGCACGCACTGGAACTTTCCCCGAAACACAGAAACCTCCCAAAACCTCAAAACCCGAAAGCCGAAACCAGACTTGAAACCATAAACGAGGCACTAAGCCCTAAGCCCTAAACCTCAGCCAGATGCCAGCGATCTGATCGCCATTTCGGCGGCGGCTGCCTCTGAGAAGATAGAGGTGGAGCAGGAGGCGGCTTGGGTTTGGGGTTAGAGCTTTGAGGTTAAGGGTTTAGTGGTTTAGGGCTCTACCGAACAGTCCATCGCTCTTTGAGCAGTACTTACACCAGCAATACGTACTGCAACAACAACAACACGACTCCTCTTGAACGTGTCTCATGATTTCGTCGATCATGGTCCGTCCTGTTGACCAACACATCGAGCCCAAACAGTCAAACAGGGCCTAAGATACTTAATCTAAGACCATCCGTTAGGGCTCCTCATTATCACTAATTGAAATGTACAATATAGCACCGAAGCCCTCTACTGATGGGTGAGAATATATCCTTTGGGGTTCCTCGTTATGACCTCTATGTGTACATAATGTGCCCCTCCCCCGCCCCCAAAGCCCTAATTTTAACGATTAAGACCCCTATCTTCGATCCTGTCTTCCCCAAGGTCCTCCGCACTCGAATCCCCGCAGCCTGTTGACGCTTTTAGCCTCAGCCGCTTTAAATCCTGCACTATCAGCGCAAGAAGCCTAAAACATGGCCAGACTGTTTTTTGAAAGGCTCGAAGTCGATCCCTCTGACCAAAACCTCCCTCGTAGAGAAACCCTTTGAAGAAACGCTAAGCCAAGTGCAGGACACGCAGGCAGCACAGAGCGACTCGGCCTGTTTGGCTTGGGGGGGATCGTCCTTCGGTTTATACGGCTGGGGCTGCGGGTTGATGGTGTAGTTCCCTGCATCCGAGGGGGGGGTCTTCCAGGGCTGCGGTGTCGCAGGATCTGAGGAAGGTTTAGGGTTTCAGCGTTCAGGGTTTAAGAGTTTAGGAGGTTGGGTTTTTAACCTTGGCCAACGCCTCAACTCGTATGCTAGGCTTCAAATCTGAGGGTAACTATAGGGGTTAGAATACATGTTTCCGATTTTCACCCATGTTGAATCTCAAATCCTAAGCTCTAAGGAAGGCCTCCCGGCACTGTCAATCCAGGTGTGTCGTACAGCATGCTACCAGCATGCTAGCCATAGTATTGAGTAGAGATGGTGAATTAAGAGTGATAGTCTCAGTAATGGGTAATCGTCAGACTACAGCAGGAGGAGAGAGTCGTCGTAGCCGGAGTAGTAGGAGAATAGGAGTAGTAGTAGTCGTGGTAGTAGTAGTAGTAGTAGTAGTAGTAGTAGTAGTAGTAGTAGTAGTAGTAGTAGTCGTAGTCGTAGTCGTAGTGGTAGTGGTAGTGGTAGTGGTAGTGGTAGTGGTAGTGGTAGTGGCAGTGGCAGTGGTAGTGGTAGTGGGATAGGGGTAGGGGTAGGGGTAGGGGTGGGGTAGGGGTAGGGGTAGGGGTAGGGGTAGGGGTAGGGGTAGGGTTAGGGGTCGGGGTCGGGTAGGGGTAGGGGAGGGGTCAGGGGTAGGGGTAGTGGTAGTGGTAGTGGTGTGGTAGTGGTAGTGGTAGTGGTAGTGGTAGTGGTAGTGGTGGTGGTGGTAGTGGTGGTAGTAGTAGTAGTAGTAGTAGTAGTTGTTGTTGTTGTTGTTGTGTTAGGGGTAGTCGTAGTGCTAGTGCTCGTGGTAGTGGTCGCGGGAGCTAAATTCTATTCACATGGGTTTGGCATAGCACATGCCTTGCGCTGGAATGACGATTGTCCTGAAACTCGTATCCTACATCCTGAATCCTCACAGGGGCCTTAGTAATTAGTACAACATATTCCTCAAACTTCCGGATTATGCCATATGCCCATGGTGCAATACACTCCAAAACACTAGGACCTAAACCCTAAACGAAACTAAACCCTAAGCCCTAAACCTCCGCCAGATGCCGGCGATCCGATCGCCACTTCGTCGGCGGCAGCCTCTGAGAAGTTTGAGGTGCGCCAGGAGGCGGCTTGGGTTTGCCGGGCTTGGGGTTTGGGGTTATAGGGTTTAGGGGTCTGCCGAAGAGAGTCTATCGCTCTTTGAGCAGTGCTTACACCAGCAATACTGCAACAGTAACAACGCGACTCCTCTTTAATGGGTCTCATGATTGCATCAATCATGGTCCGTCTTGTTGGCACCGCCCGCCCGCGTGTATTGCCGACCCTCTTCATCAATGTAGGAGCTTTTTCATAGTTACAAGTATCATCCCTTATGGTTCGTATTCTATAGTTAGACGGTTTAAAGGATACCAATTGAAACCCCATTTTAATTATGCAGGCCCCTATATTACATGGCCAAGCTGCTCCTCTCTTGACAAACTTTCGGCCGAATGCAGTTATCCGCATGGCAAACCTACTCCAGCGATGCTTCGCCGGGAGTAGAGCCTAGCCCCCATCACAAGTTGAGACCAACTCATTGAACCTCAAACAGTCACAATAGGGCCTAAGATATTTAATGTTAGATCATCCTTCCGGGTTCCTCATTATCACTAGTTAGTATATAGTGCACCACCAAAGCCCTATAATCTACTGATGGGGAAGACTATATCCTTTGGGGTTCCTCGTTACGACTGTAATATTCGTAATGTCCCCCCCCATTCTAACGATTAAGGCCCCGATGTCAAATACTGTCATCCGGAAGGACTCGAATCCCCGCAGCCTGTTAGTGCTTTAGACTCAGCAGACCCCAGACTGTTGGGTGCAAGCCAAAACCTCCACCCTAAGACCTCATAGTGCAACCCTCTAACAAGCACTAAGCCAAGTGCAGGACACGCCGGCAGCACAGAGCGACTCGGCCTGTTTGGCTTGGGGGCGATGGTCCTTCGGTTTTATACTGGGGCTTCGTGCTAATCAGTGTAATCCTACAGCCTAAACCCTGTTGGCGGGTCGGGGTATCGGGGGGTCTTCCAGGGCTCCGGTGTCGCGGGCTCTCGGAGGATCTGAGGTTTAGGCTTTCAGGTTTCAGGGCTTAACAGTTTAGGAGGTTGGGGATTCGTATGTTAGGCAATGTTAGGCAGTTAAAGCTTAGGGTAATTACGGGGGGTGAGAGTTGGTGGTACCGATATACACAACCCATGGTGAACCTCAAATCTAGAGCTCTATGCCTAAGCCCGGCTGCCGAAGGCCAGTCGGCACCGTCGTGTCGTACAGCATGATACCGGCATGCTAGCCATAGTACGGAGTAGTGATTCTGATGAAGGATTAAGAGTGATAGTCAGTGATAGTCATAGTGATGTGTAATCGCCATACCACAGCAGGAGGAGTCGTCGTAGTCATAGTCGTCGTCGTCGAAGGAGTAGTAGGAGGAGTAGTAGTGGTAGTAGCCGCGGAAGCTCATTTCGGATCACATGTGTTTGGCATAGCGCAGCCTCTGGAATGACGATTGTCCTGAAACTCCTATCCTGCATCCTGAATCCTGGCAGGGGCCTCAATAATTAGTACAACCTATTCCTCAGGCTTCCGGTTTATGCCATATGCCTATAGTGCAATACACTCCAAAACCCCAAGCCTAAACCTTAAACGAAAAAACAAACGCTAAACCTCCGCCAGATGCCGGCGATCCGATCGCCACTTCGGCGGCGGCAGCCTCTGAGAAGTTTGAGGTGCGCCAGGAGGCGGCTTGGGTTTGCCGGGCTTGGGGTTTGGGGTTATAGGGTTTAGGGGTCTGCCGAAGAGAGTCTATCGCTCTTTGAGCAGTGCTTACACCAGCAATACTGCAACAGTAACAACGCGACTCCTCTTTAATGGGTCTCATGATTGCGTCAATCATGGTCCGTCTTGTTGGCACCGCCCGCCCGCGCGTATTGCCGACCCTCTTCATTAATGCAGGACTCTAAATCACCACCAATATTATATTCCTTATGGTTCTTGCAGTACTATAGATACGCTATAAAGGATCCCCCTATTTATTATGTGGCCAAGGCGCTCCTAGCTTGACAAACTTTCGGGCGAATGCAGTGTCAGCATGGCAAACCTACTCTAGCGATGCTCCACAGGGAGCACAGCATAGCCCGAGTTGAGACCATCTCATTGGACCCCAAACAGTCGCAAAAGGCCTAAGATATTTATTCTAAGGTCATCCTTAAGGGTTCCGCACTGTCACTGGTTAATAGGCAATATACCACCAAACCCCTATACTCTGCTGATGGGTAAGATTATCTTGTTTGGGGTTCCTCGTTCCCCCCGCCCCAAAGCCCAATTTTTGCGATTAAGGCCCCTATGCTAGATCCTGTCATTCCGAAGGACTCGAATCCCCGCAGCCTGTTGGTGCTTTAGCTTCAGCCGTTTTAAATCCTGCACTATCAACGCAAGAAACCCAAAACAAGCCAGACTGTTTCTTGAAGAGCTCGAAGTCGATCCCTCTGCCCAAAACCTCCGCGTTCAGACCTCCTAGAAAAAAACCCTTTCAAAAGCACTAAGCACAAAGCCAAGTGCAGGACACGCAGGCAGCACAGAGCGACTTGGCCTGTTTGGCTTCGGGGGATGGATGGTCCTTCGGTTCATACGGCCGAGGCGTTGTGTAGATCAGTGTAAGTCTACAGCCTAAGCCCTAGTTGGTGTGTGGGGTTTCGAGTCAATAAAGCTCCCTCCATGCGATGTGGGGGTGGGGTGTCTTCCAGGGCTCCGGTGTCGCAGGCTGTCGGAGCATCCGAGGGAGGTTTAGGCTTTCAAAATTTAGGGTTTATGAGTTTTGGAGGTTGGGGATTCGTATGTTAGCCATATACAACCCATGTTGAACCTCAATCTAAAGCTCTAAGCCCTGAGCCTAAGCCCGGCAGCCGAAGGCCAGTCGGCACTGTCAATCCAGGTGTGTCGTACAGCATGATACCAGCATGCGAGCCAGAGTGTTGAGTAGTGATGCAGGGCTAAGAACGGTAGTCATAGTGATGGGTAATCATCATACTACAGCAGTAGTCATCGTCGTCGTTCTTCTTCTTTTCTACTACTACTACTACTACTACTACGACGACGACGACGACGACTACTACTACTACTACTAGCAGTAGCAGTAGCAGTAGCAGTAGCAGTAGCAGTAGCAGTAGCAGTAGCAGTAGCAGTAGCAGTAGCAGTAGCAGTAGCAGTAGCAGTAGCAGTAGCAGTAGCAGTAGCAGTAGCAGTAGCAGTAGCAGTAGTAGTAGTAGTAGTAGTAGTAGTAGTAGTAGTAGTAGTAGTAGTAGTAGTAGTAGTAAGTAGTAAGTAGTAAGTAGTAAGTAGTAAGTAGTAAGTAGGAAGTAGGAAGTAGCAAGTAGCAAGTAGCAAGTAGCAAGTAGCAAGTAGCAAGTAGCAAGTCGCAAGTCGCAAGTCGCAAGTCGCAAGTCGCAAGTAGCAAGCAGGAAGCAGTAAGCAGTAAGCAGTAAGGAGTAAGGAGTAAGTAGTAAGTAGTAAGTAGTAAGTAGTAAGTAGTAAGTAGTAAGTAGTAAGTAGTATGTAGTAAGTTGTAAGTAGTAAGTAGTAAGCAGTAAGTAGTAAGTAGTAAGTAGGAAGTAGTAAGTAGCAAGTAGTAGTAGTAGCAGTAGTAGTAGTAGTAGTAGTAGTAGTAGTAGTAGTAGTAGCAGTGGAAAAGGCGCAGAAGAAGCATTTACAACGACTATAACGTACTGACGTAGTGTAAACAAACGGTAGGCACGTGCAGCACCTGGCTGGATTTATTCAGAGACGAATCTTCGCACAATGCAGGTTTAGCGAGCCCGGTTTGTTGCATTGCGTTTCGGCATCATGCCCTTTGTTGAACATCTGGAAGCTGCTTGAGAGATTTGTCGTTGTCAGGCATGTGTGAATCGACGGCTGCGACAATTCCAAAGCATTCAGCGCGAAAGCTACATTCGATTCACATGGGGTTTGGCATAGCCTTGTGCTGAATGACGATGGCCCCGAAGCTCTTTTCCTACATCCTGAATCCTCACAGGCGCCTCAGTTCAGTAATTCGTACAACATATTCCTCAGGCTTCCGGATTGTGCGTATAGTGCAATACACGCCAAAACCCCGTTCTAATATCAAGGACCTTGCATCAGTCCTTTCTCTCTGTTGCTAACATGCGTTGAGGCAGCGATGCTCCTAGAAGCCCACCAGGCCCGTGCATTCTCGGCAGGAGGGATGCTACTTGCATATATGTATATGTATATGTATATGTATATGTATATGTATATGTATATGTATATGTATATGTATATATGCTCACCATATATATATATATATATATATATATATATATATATACATACATACACACACACACATACACATATACATATATACCTATGTATATATATATATATATATATACACACATAATTGTCCCTGCTACCGCTGAGAGATGATCCGCCACTCCTTTTGGCCCCTAAATTACCTTAGCTCAGGAGTCGACTCACAACATCACGTGGTTTTGAGCTGTAGCTCACCATGGCCGTTTCTCTGGGCTGAAGGTAGGTGTTTTCTGCCAGTACCCCCCCCACCAAACACTCGGACCTTCTCGCCCGACTATACTTGAACTTCACATCCCTTCAGCTTCACCCTGAACTCTAAACTCCAGCCGTAATGCTGAAACCGAACCTAACACCCTGAAGACGAAGTTAACTCTTCGTTCTTATCGCACAAAGACTCTCAATCCGAGCGCCGGATGCAGGGGTTGCACAAGGGAGCCGAACATAGACCTTACGTAGCAGTAGGCAAGGACGCATGATGTAAGGACACCTGACGACAAGAGCCCACATGCAAACCCGATCACGTTGCCTAAAGATCCACATGAACATACAGATCTAGTGCTGACAACCAAATAAAAGCGAATATGCCGTCATTTATAGACTCTTAGACGCTCGCGTGCATTAGAGGTTTTGGGGTTTGGGGTTCAAGTCTACACAGGGATCTCCGTCAAAAGGATGTGTGTTGTGAAACGTCGTGAAGTGCGAACCCTTACAAGAACCCCTTAAAGGAACCACTTAACTACAGGGATCCAGTTCAAGTTAAAGGAGCCCCTGAACGAACCCCTCCCCTCCAAGCAGGCAAAGGCAAAGGGCCAACTGCGCCTGCTCGCGGCAAAGGGGGCAAAGCGGGCAAAGGTCCCCTGGCATTGGGCGAAATCCGTGTGCATGCAAATGGTTTAGGGGTTTAGTCAAAAGCGCATTCCCATTTATGTAGGGATGGCAAGTTGTAATGCTTTATCCCGCAACTTCTACTATTTGCACAGCCTTCTCCATTCGTTTCGAAGGTCAAACTCAAGCATGTCATTCATATCAAGCACACCGTAGGTTTCTTGAGTATTTGACAGTTCGCGGGCCCCCCGAAACCCAGACCTCTCAGATTCTCAATCCTTTGCAACGAAAATTCTCAACCCTTTGCAACGAAAAGAACCCCAACAAAAACCACGACACAATCCTTCCCGACGAAAAACAAGCAACGTCACCCTCAACCCAAAACCTGCTCTCTATACTTATTAGCTGAGCAGGCAGCCCTTAAGCTTTTGTGGTTGGGCTAGGGTGCTCATCCCCTGAATATACCCCGGCGCTGACCGTAGCCGAGGAGCCGGCAAGGGGACAGACCAAGGCCAGAAACGCAGGATTTACCTGATTGATGGTTGTTCGTTCCGGGTTCAGTGATTGGTGATGCGGCCTAAATATTTACAAATACTATGTTGGAGGTTCCTTTTTTTATAGTATAGCGAGCCCCAGAACCCTATTTTTAACTATCAAGGCCCTTATTGCGTGGTACCCTTACAGATCCCTTCTAGTAACCCGATGAAAGAAACCTCAAAACCTTATGCTAGTTATTCAGGCCCCTACATTACTGCTTTGGGGTTTGTGGCGGAGTTTCGAATTACGACCTTAGTTTGGGGTTTACGAATGACGTGTCAGGTTTTTCAGTTAGCGAACGGTTTGTTTTGCCGGGGTCAATGATGATTTGAGCTTTGGGTTTATGGGATAGTGTTTCGGGGTAGGAGATTAGGTAGATAAGATATATAAAACCCTGAATTTGAGTTTGGGGTTTACGAATGACCTGTTAGAGTTTGGGTTTAGGGGATAGCGGTGTTTCGGAGTAGGAGATCAGGGATATAAGTTATTCAAAACCCTCAGTTTGGGTTTGGGGTTTACGAATGACCTGTCAGAGATTGGGGTTCAAAATCTTTCAGGACTTGCTACTACCTTCGGATGTTTGTGTCTGCCTGGAGGTATGTGAATGTTCTTATAGTGCATGACTGGGGCCGCAATTGCCGAAGCCGGCAAGGCCATCTCCACAGTGCATGCCTGGAGCCCGGAGCTAGGCTTTATAAGGTTCTGCTCACCCATCAGTTGATGAATCTATCCTGAAAGGAAAGTTGCACTCATGAAGAAATGTCAGGGTCGCTGTGCAAGTCATCGATCAAAACCAAGAAATCCACAACGGTACTCCATGTCTTGGCGGCCCTCAGCCCTGAACCCTGTAAAAGCTATAAGTTCGAAGTCTGATGAGCCCTGGTTCCAGGTGAAGCAGGTCAAGCGCGCAACGAAGGTGCAGGTCAGGGGCAAAAAGGGCCACCGTTGCCTGCCAAGGGTGACTTGGCTTTTGAGGGTTATGTAGGGCTTATCGGGTTTAGGGCTTCTAGGTGGGTTGGGGGCCTGGTTCAAGCTAATGCAGGACCTGATTAAGAAACCCTTTTCCTATAACCCCAAAGTAGTAGGATTCATACAAGGAGCCCTAATAAAGGCCCAAGGTTTCTGAATCAGGTTCCTACATTATTAGCGTTTAGGATGCAGGGCTTTGGGGGTTGAATATCTAGTGTTCCTCATACTTCAACATACCACCGCACCAGTATAGCCAGGCAACACTTTTTCGTAACAGCGACTGGGCTGCCCTGTAGTGTATTTGTGAAGCTTACAAGCATAAGGAGTCAGCATCCGAAAGACCCCCATGCATGGAAACAGCCCCACTATGTTTGACTGTTCGCGTGACCCCCTAATCTCTGCTCCCTAGAGCCCCGAAACCGTGAGTAACAGAAAGGATCTCCAAAAGAAATGCTTCGACCGTTAAGGTAAACAGTCCTTCACCCTACAAAAGAAGCCATGCCAGTGGAGATCCTCAAACCAAGTCGTGAAGCTTGGGAAAATACAGGTCGCAAGTAGTTGCTAAATAAGGCTCCCCCCCCGCCCCACTAACAGAAGCACCAAGAGATTGCCAAGTGGAGTAGATGGCCAGGAGACCACCAAGAGACCACAGGACACGAGGAGCGCACCACGACGCAAAGAGACCACGAAGAGACCACCAGGAAACCAGCAACAGACCACCACGACACCAGGAGTCCACCAAGAGACCAGCAGGAGGCCACGACAACATCCAGAAAACAACAGGAGATCATCAGGAAACCACCCACGACGCACTGCGACCAGGACCAGGACACGAGGAGAACACCAAGAGACCACCCAGCGGAGACACGAAGGGACCCCACCAAGAGACCACCAGGAGATCCCCGAAAACCAGCAGGCGACCTAAGGGATCTAGAGTAGGGTTCTATAGTATATAGGGGCATGAATGATTAGAATAGGGTTTTGGCGCGCATGATACTATACTTATAAGGAAGAACCTCCCAAATAGTCGGTAATGATTAAGCCCCCTATATTGCACATTCCCCGCACCACCCCTGCAGGCCCTCCCACAAGTACTAGGAAACATCCAGAGCCCGGCGAGGATGCCTTCCCCCAAGCAGTGTCACACTGCTTTCCACGAAACACAGGCGCGTTTCGGCAATACGAGACTAATGCTTCCTCTCTGAGTTCGCGGGATCCAGAGGAACGCTTTAAATCGTTTTCTCCAAGTCATATTGCTGCGATTTCAAGTTTTCGGGAGGCAAAAGTAGCTAGTTCATGGCAGTTTATTTGTAAACAGCCGCGTTCTGCAGGACACTGCCAGCGAAAAACTATGCACCGCACATCACCACACCACGGTGGGAGACGCGCACCGCGAGTATCCTGTGTAAGCCGGGGAGGGGCGGCCACACAATCAATTCGTCTGTTTTGCCCGTAACACAGAAACGCCATAGTGTTAGCACACTGCTTATAGGGAACAACTACGCCCTCAACGGTAATCCTAGACCAGCAGCCTGCACCTTTGCGCTATACCTAGCTGAGGAGCAGGTAAGGGGGCAGACGAAGGCCAGAAATGCAGTCGGGCTTGTGTCAGAACTGGAGTTTACGGATTTCATTACAGAGTGAACGAAGGTTTGTTCTTTCCGGGGTCAATGATTTCATGATTTGGACTTTGGGAGTTGGGGGATGGTGTTTCGGAGTAGGAGATAAGGGGTTGAAGATGCGTGAAATAGCGCTGCAGTGATTGAATTCGGAAGCCGATGTGAATAATAAGTCTTCTAGGGCGATGTCTAGGGTTTAGAGGGCTTAGTTCGATGACTAGGACTAGGACCGTACCCGCTGAAGCCGAAAAGGCCATGAAGCGATAACGTGAAAGCAGCCCATGCCTGAAACCTTGAGCTGCATCGGCTTTTTGAGACTTCAGGATATAAGGGAGTTTCCGAAAATTAGGGGTACCTTTTTTTGGGGTTCTTATAATAGGGATCCTTCTGTCTATTTAGGGTATAGGGTCCCCCACTTTTGGAAACTCCCATATTGGGGATAGTGTTGAGGATTAGAGTCAGAGGCGAGGGTTTCGGGGCTACGACCACTCTACTCTTGGTGCAGTGGCTTCTACGATTTTGCTAAGACACCCCCTAGACCCCAGTGGCCCCAGCGTGTGAGTCATGTACGTATTGTATGCAAGTTTCAACAAATGAGGGGTTAGGGGTTTAGGATTTAGGGAGGGGCCTTAGACGGAATCTCAGGCTCCTGATGCAAGAAGGCACCCCCCAAACATGGGACTCCCTTTTGTAAGATTGACTGGGACCCCTAGTTGAAGATCCTGTTGGAGAGTTCCTGAATACATCTGGGTACGTCCTTTCTCTGCCCTGGGAGCCCTTTATTAATACTTGAACAGAATCCCCTAAGAGCGAACCCTTATAGTAGAACCCGAAGATGTGGGGTTTTCTCCAACTAGGGGCATGGATGACCCATCAACCCACGAGAGATGTCCTAAGCCCTAAGCAGGAGACGCAGGCCGCATCTCAGAAGCATGAAGGTTTAGGGTTTTGGGTTTCGCCAGACCGCCAAGTGTTTTTTTTTTTTTCTCTCTCTCTCTCTCTCTGCATATATATATATATATATATATGTATATATATATAGAGAGAGAGAGTACTTTAGGGTTTAAAGTCTGGAAGCAGTACCTACTTAGCCATTTGGAGCCCCACGGGTTTGGACTTCCGCAGGTTTCACATCTTTAGCATGTCTTCGGCACTCGGTAGTGGTATGGTCATAGTTATCATGCAGACCCCTGCTTTGAATGCTACGGCCCTGAGACGAAAGGGTGTTTATGAACCCGGGTCGAGACTGAAGGGAGATACAGCCTGACGGGGCTTGAGGTTCAGGTTTTAGGGCTTTGGGGGTTTAGGGTTGAGGGTTCGGGGGCAGTGGAAACGCCGAGGAGTCGGGGTGAGCATTGAACGAAGAAACAGCTGCTTCAGAGGTACTCAGCACAACAGGCATGACACAGTTTACTTGCGATTGTGCCTTTCCCAAAATACCCCTTGAACGACTTACTTTGCACACAAACCCGAAATCCTCATCCCTAAGTCCTCAAAGAACAGAAAGCCCAAGCCCCACTAAGCCCTAGTGGCACTTGGCACCTACCTGCCGGTGTGTCATATTAGACATTGCCGTTCAAATCAGTGGGAGTGCGCAGATTGGATGCTGATGCTTGGTGAAAGGCCGACGCCACGGGGAGCGCATCAGTGCATCAACAGCGGCTGGCTGTCTGACAGGGCACAAACTCTGTCCATCGGAGCGAAGCCGCAGGGCAGGCCGCCGAAGCAGATAATCGAGGCATTTCTTGCTGTACTCCGAGGCCTGGAGCAGTGGGAAGTTCCAGCAGAGGTATGGCCACTCAGGATGTTAAACCCGGCCCGACGCCGTTGTATACATCAGTACTTTATCGTCTTTCTTCTGATGGAGCGATCTATGTCCCTGATTTGCACTGCGGTTTCGAGGTGTAATCCTAAGTTTCAACTGAGCGGTGCCCTTTTGACATTCTTGATGTGGGGTCTCCTTACCAAAAAGGAATATTGGGAAAAAGTAGATTCTCATTAATAATCTACGTAGGCCTCTGGGATATTTTACATTTTCCCTTTTCGGGCTTATGAGGATACTATTTACGAGTATTTTTCAGAGGCTTTAAAGGGCCAAACTAGAACCCCAACTACGCTCTATTATACCCCAAGTACACTCTATGAAGGACCATAAGGGCTTCATGAAGGGCTACTTGCAGGGTCCTGGTAGTTATTAATCTTAAACCGAACAGCCCCGAGCCCGATGTAGGCAGAACGTTTGTCACTCGCTGGAGCGAGGTTTGGAACTTGCCTGTACCAGCGATCCGAGATACTCAGACCTATAACTACCACAACCTACGTTTTCAAGGTTTTATAATTATGACCCCTAGTATAGAGTTTATCGGGACGTACACAAAGTTACCACAACCTACTTTTTCAAAGGTTTGATTATAAATCCACATGTCGAGTTTATCGGGACCCTACATAAAGATAGGTTTTGGTACTTTCAGCTAAGCCTGAGGCAGCGTCATGGAAAACCCCAGTTCTGAGGGTTCCTTATGTTCTGACTTCCTGATCTAGTTCGAAAAAGGTAGGTTAATTTGGGTCGCGGGTAAACCCTGCTGTCCTGGATGCTGTTGGTGGTTCCCTTTTGCAGACTTCAGGTTCTAAGCCTTAATTTCACACTGTAAACATTTCTTTTCACAAGCACATTCAACCCTAAACCCAAAATTCAATCGGATACTCAACTCCACAGCTGACCTCTCGCTCCAAGGCGTGATAGAGGTTGGGAGTTTGGGCCGAAAGCTCTCACTGAAGTCAGCCACAGGGCGGATGGGTTGTCTGACGCCTGGCTGCAGGAACGCGTTGAGGGCTTAAGGGTGTAGGACTAAGTAGCCTTGTAGGTGTAACCCCAAGGGTCCAAGTACTTGATAATCATATACTTTCCAAAATCATTAACTACTATTCGAAAGCCGAGTACTTAATTATTGGGTCCTTTGGACCCTTGGGGTAAGCGTTTAGGGCGTAGTGGCGACGGCCCCTATAGAGAAGGTGCCCAAGTTGTCAGGACTTCCAGAAAAACAAAGCCTGTGGTTTACTTCATTGTGGCCGAATGCCTCCTACCCATAGGCTCCATAGTAGTTCCTTTTCGGGATTACCTTATAGGATTCTAAACATAAACCCCAAAAGAACTACTATGGAGCCTATGGGTGCAAGTTGAACCACGAGCCTTCTTCTTTGGTTTGTAGCAGCGAAAGCTACAGGCGGTAAGGTGCCTAGCTTAGGGTGTGATGGTTTACCGCAGGGTTTCTGCGGGGTCTGGACACTTGCAACCTGGGAAGCGGCACATGGTGTGGGGCCCAGGTGGTGTGATCAAGAGTGATGCAGGATGGCAGGAAAAAGACCCCCAACTTTGGGCCCCAACCTTTGACTCACTCTACTCAACTCCTTCAGGGATGCCAGGGTTCTGGGTTGAGGGCTCAGGTTCATAAGGCCCAAGCAACGTGGATCCCCACTACCCTGAACCCTGAGCCTCTCCACACGTCTCTCCGAGCGGCTCGCCCCTCACAGCCTTACGCCCGAACCCTTGTCAAGAAGGGCCCTCAGAAGCATAAGCATTTTACAGCGATATATGTTCGTATTTATTGGCTTCACGTGTATGGGATATCCCACTATATCCCTATAGTGGTTGTTTATGTTCGGGTTTCGGAGAGCTGGGTCGAATCTTCAAGTGAGCACAAGTCTACACAGGCTATAACCTCAGCGTTCCCCACCGAGCTCACTGCCAAAGCCCGTAAATGCTCCTAAACCCTAAACTCCCAAGCCCTATAAACGATAAACCTTAAAAAAAAGCGGCCTCCCGGTATACTTGAACGAAAGTAACCCGGCTACGCCTCACACAACGCGGGCGTAAGGAGGACCCCCAGCCATTGGAACATATTGGGAGCGACATGGTGTTAGCGGGGTCTGAGGGGAAATTGCAAGGGTGTCCGGGTCCGTATACCCTCGGTTCTTTGTGTGAACTGCTCTAACCCTGGCGCGGCCAGGCACAGGCTGCGAGGAGCCACAACCCGACATCAATCCACTTCAGCTGGTGTGCTGTAAAGTGTGGTCGAGTTATGTAGAACTGCGAAAGGAAGCAGAGAGCAAGAAAGACGCCATCAGGGCTGAAGCGTAACTTCTGCAGTGGTTGGGGCGGGACTACATACTGACGCAAGCGCGCGACTAGTTGGTGCCCAGCTAATCTTAAAGTAAGAAACGCACCCACAGGTCGCGCACTGTATGCACACCCAGGTAGGCCTTTGGGACATTTGATATTTTCCCTTTTGGGGCTTAGGATGATGTTATTTACGAATAGTTTTCAAAGGCTTTAAAGGGCCAACCTAGTAACCCTAAACCCTTAACCCTTAACTTGTCAATCTTAGACAAACCTTAAAATCGAAACCCTTAACCAGGTCGAAACCCGGAGACCTTGCCGAAACCCGGAGACCTTACATACGCCCCAAGCCTGAAACCCTGAAAGCCTATTGTTCCCTGATTGCGCAGTTAAACTTTAAACGGTCCCTTTAAGGAACCATAACAACCGGTGCTGTAAGAACCCGAAACGCTCAACCTCTAGCCTAAACCTTAAACTATACAATCAATCCAGACCCATTAAGCCCTTAACCCAATACAAAGCAAAGTCCCTCCCAGCCTTAATTCCTTATGCCCCAGCCTTTCCCAAATCCTACACCCTAAATCCCTAAACCTCTAAGCCCTAAACTCCTCAACCGTAAACCCTAAATCCCTAAACCCTATAAATCCCTAAACCCTAAGCCCAGAACGTCGGAGTTAGTTCTGCTCAGAGAAGCTACGATGCGTGTGGAAGTAGCACAAACAAAGAAATAACTGCGCTACAACGCATGTGCAAGTGGCAGAAAGCCCTAAACCCCTAAGCCCTAGCCTCCTCAATCGTAAACCCTAAATCCCTAAACCCCAAATCCCTAAACCCCTTGAACAAGAGCCGAGGTCCCTCCTCAACCAGGCCAGATCGGGTCGGCCCACGAGGATCGATCCCACTCGAGCACCCGGCCCATGGTTAAGCGGTCTTCCTGTCTTTCCATGGGGGGATTCCGTTTTTTTGGGTTCCTGCAAGGGGATTACAAGTGTACCAGAGGGGTACTATAGTGTTTAGGTGTTCTGGCTTAGGATTTAGGGTCTCTATGTTTGGGATTTTGGGGTTAGAGGGGGTGGGGTGCCGGGTGGAGTTGGGGTTTAGGGCTTTGGTTTAAGATTCACACTGTGCATAGATTTGCAGACTCCCAACCGGGGTTATATACATGTATAGATGTATATTTTGTTTGTTAGTCAGATATACATAAAAGCCGAACTATTGTGTCTATAAGCGGCCACGTGTTTCTATTGTTACATGTACGTGTGTTCATTCGAAATAACTGATAATGTTAGACACGTGTAACCATATCATAGTTACATTATCAAATGCTTTACCCCAAAACGGCCCCAAACTCTGTTCTAATGCTTAAGCCTCAGAAAGTAGCAACATCCTGCCCCTGAAGCTTAGGCCCTAGACAGTTCCAAGCCCTCCAAGATCATTGTGATAGAAAGAACTACAGGTGGCACTCCGTAGTCTTAAGAGGAGTGCCAGCTGAATCCCCAGCACTCAACCTAGCCCCTGGTCCATGATGATCCTGGCATTACGCACGACATTTGATTCCTGCTTCAAGCCACCACCTCCTGAACCCTGAGCCCTTGTGCTGCATTTGAGAACCTGAACTACCCTAAACCCTAAGCCATAAGCCCTAATATGATGGAGCCAGTGGCTTTCTGTAACTTCCATCAGATTCGAGGCCTGACGCTTGAAACTCGCAGGCTCTCAGGCCCTGAACATGGGTCTAGAGTTTTTACCGTCTTGTTAGGGTTTTTCATTTTTGTTCATATACAACCCAAGAGAATATTAAGCATAGTATTTGTATTGTGGTTCTAAGGGGGGTATAGGTTGGTGTACGTTTCTAGTGAAAGCCTAATCAGTCTTATTTAGGGTGCTACATTCTGATTAAACTTCGTCTATCCCAAAGGGTCCTAAGTATCTACACCTGGAGCCGTAAACCTTAAAACCCCAAACCATCCTAAACCCTAAACCCTAATCCTTCAACCCCGAACCATCCTAAACCCTAGTCCCTAGACCACAAACCATCCCAAACCCCAAACAGTTGCTTAGCACCCTTCGGGTTTATGATAGGTTAAGGTAGCCCAGCCATCCAAACCCCAAACAATTGCTTGGGACCCTTTGGGTAGGGATCAAAGCAGCCCAAAAGCCTTGTATAGTATGGTCTTTTGGCCCAAAAGCTTTAATATATGAGTCCCTAGAGCCCTGTAAACCCTATAATTCCCTTTAAAGGACCCCTTATAGATTCCTTTAAAGGAACCCCTATATGAGTCCTTAGATCCCTAGGGTCTGGGTAGCTGCCCAGGTAGATTTCGACACCATGCTCACCACCTTCGCTCAAGGCAGGGACTCCACAGAACCGTCAAAGCACCCCTGACTTAAAGGATCATGGGACTTAGTAACCAGGGTTCCTTAAAGGGATCTATAGGGTTCCTTAAAGGGATCTATAGGGTTCCTTAAAGGGATCTATAGGGTTCCTTAAAGGGATCTATAGTGTTCCTTAAAGGGATCTATAGGGTTTAGGGTCTATTTAAAGGATCATGGGACTTAGTAACTGAGGGTTTAGGGTCCCTTTGAGGGATCTACAGGGGTACTATAAGGAGGGTTTAGGGTTTAGAGTACTTAAAGGATCATGGGACTTAGTAACTGGGATTTTAATTAGGGTAACTATACTTATAACCCCAATTAAGGTACTTATAACCTTACTTACTAAGTCCCATGATCCTCCAAGTAAGGGAACCCGGATTCAGGGGTACGGGGACCTATCGGGTTCCTTTAAAGGGATCTAAAGGGATCTATAGGGATACCTTTAAGGGCTCCTTTTAGGGCTTCAGAGTTTAGGGTGTCAGGTTTTCGGGTTCAGGGGTTTACACTTTAGGGGTTTCGGAGTTTCGGGTTTGGGGGTTCAGGTTATTATTGCCAGCCTCCAACCCCTGAAACTCCGAAACCCTGGGACCGAATCCCTGGGTCTCGATTCAATGTTTGGTCTCACAGCTTTGCGAAGTTAGAGTTCAAACGGGTCTAGAGTTAAGTTCGGGCTGGTGAGATAAAAGCTTAACGTTGAAGGCTTTGGGGTTCGCACCTTGCGGCTTTCTTTGCATTCAGGTTGGATGTTGGGGTTTGCCTAGACCACCTCTGCACACCCGCTACCCTGAACCCCCACCCCAAATCCCTACCCTGAAGACCCTAAGTCAAAACGAAAGCCCTGTATAGACCCTTGAGACCCATATTCTAAACCCTATAATGCCCTGTAAGCCCTAGATGCATCGAACCTCCCCTGCCAGACCGGGCGCCTCCTCGCGCGCACGTGTTCATGAGGCCAGGGGACCAGGTAAGGGCCGAGTTTCTCCTTCTTGCTGGGTTGTGCTTTGGGATAATTTATAGTTTCCCTTATTTCCTTGTAAAGGGAACCTATTCATAAATAATTTTCAAAGGGTTTAAAGCACAACCTAGTCTTGGGTATCGTGCGGATGCTAGTTTCTGGGCTGTGGGAGGACCATACTTTAATATTCTTTTTCCTATTCGAACCATTATGAAATAAAAGTTTATGCTTCTTCCCCCTGCTTACTTAAACGCCCAGTTTTACTAGGACTCAGCCCTCATTCCCCGTTTTAGGGTTCAGGTTCCCTTATAACTTATAACCCCTTTACCCCCAAAACTGCACTTTTTCTTGTTCCTTGGTTAGTCTTGGGTCTAGTTAAAACGGGCTACTCAGGAATCTAGTCTAGCAGCCTCTAAACCCGAAACCCTTATGTTAGATCCCTTTAGAGGATCCCGTGGAATCCCTTTTAAAGGGAGTACTCAGGAATCAAGTATAACCTCCATTATAGAACCCTTGTAGATCCCTTATAGATCCTTTCAAGGATCCTTTTTCGGGAACCCTTTAAAGGAACTTCACTGCTCTCTTTGAAAGGGGCTCCTCCGGAATCTCTTTGATGTTAGGGGACACGGCTTCGTGGCTGCAAGGCCGTGAGGAGAAGGTCCAGAATTCGGCAGCACTCGACCTTATGTGAAGCGGCCAATGTAAATTTCCTACACTGAAAATAATACTAGCACCAATACTAATACTAATTCTCGCTAATATTAATTCAATTCTTTCGGGTACTAAAGCTACTACGACCCATACTAATACTAATTTGAACTAATACTATTACCCAAACTAACACTACGTGTGACTGTAAGTGTAATATACTCATATATCATACCTAGGGGTTCCTTCGTCAGGGTTTTTTCCATGATCATCGAGAAACGCTGAGAAACCCTTAAAAGGCGCTTAAATCGGTCCCCTAAAACAGTCACGCATGGATTCTGAAGAAACGCGTGGAAAATCGCGATTGCTGCCGCTTAGAGGCTCCGCGGCATACATGATGGTTCGCCTAGCTACTTTAATAGATATCTGGGGTATACTACCTTAAGATAGGGCTTATATATATAGATATATATATCGATAATATATATAATATATAGGAAGTCATTCGGAAGAACGTTCTTGGTGACCGCGATGTCGCCATCCTGCCACGGTGTGCCCGGTCCCGCTGGCTGGTTTCTGTACTGCTGTGATTTCGCGAGGAATGCATGCAAGTGATTCGTATCGCTCTGCTGCAGATGGCTTCATGATGTTATCGGACCGATTGGTACAGCCAATACTGCATTGCACTGCATGGCAGGGAATTTAACTCGATTGCATGGCATGTGCAGTTCGCATGAGAAAGCATATAACGCAGTTACTTAAATTTGCACTGTGTATGCCATGGCGACCCTGGCTGAGACCTGGAAAAAACTGCATGGCATGGAAGAACGTGGGGCTTCTGGACGACTCGTTGTAGGACCAGTGAACCTACAACGTGTCGACTTAGACTTCAATTGGGATATTATCGGTCACGCTATAGTGTGGAATGGCTGTCGACCGAGTATCGACCCACTTACGGATGCTTGTGCCGATTTTTTTCAGATGACTCGGCCACGCAGCAAGCCCCCTTGCAGCCGTAACACGGCTGCAAAATATACAACATGCATTTATAATATGATGATCCAGCATAGATATTCGAATAGGGATCGATAGCTGAGGCGACTTCTGCAAAAACGCAGCTTGGCGAGTGCGGAACTTGATTACCATGTTTTGTGCGATCGCGAAGAGGCCTCACAGGCCTAGGGAAGCGAATATCATCAAGATCTACGAAATGGTGGGCATCAAAGTTCCTGAAGGCCCGGTCGTATTATGCACGCATAAGTTGAGGTATATTATGGCTTAGGACTTGGGGCTTGGACTGCGGATATTGCCCTTTTTCTGGTTCCCTAGGAGCTTCTATTTTCTTAATATATCTATAATTAAGGGTCTGGGTTCGGAATTTAATAAATGGGATAAGGGGGCTAACGGCTAATTCCAAAACCCTGGCTAAGTAAAACCTATCTATAACCCCATAGATTCGATCTCCTCGGTGCAGGTCGATCGCCAACCACTGCCGAAGAGGAAGCCGAAGCCTGATCGACGGATTGTGCGGAATTTCATTAACGGGCTTTCGGGCTCAGGGCTTGAGTTTTGTGGATGGGTCTTACGCATGTGTGTTTGTGATATGCATGCATGTGCTCGTGTATAGTATACTTATGCAAGCTAAGGAGGATGACGGTGCTGAAGAAGAGTATGAAGAAGAATGTTTAAGCGAAGATGAGCTTGTGGATCCGGATGCAGTTGGTAGTGGTGAGCCAACAGCCGTTGTGAGCGACGCAGCAGCTGAAGCAGTCCCGACAGCAGCCTTCCACGTGCATCCGCACCGTACCCTGACCAGTGCCTTGTACACATTATACTCGAAGCATTATGTGCATCAAACTTCCCAGATCGATCGGACGCCCATCCAAGGTGATTCGGTTACCACAGCCGCCTCGACTCCTTCGCCACACAGGCCGGCCGATTTGCCGGACCCTTCGCCGCCATCAGAAGTCCCCGCACCATCCGCTTTGCACACCCCGTCGCCATGCAACAAGCCTTCAGAAGGAGTCCCTACCCCAACCGATGAGAAGCAGCCATGTGCACGCCGCACGAAACAGCTCATGCTCGATGCCTTGAACGAAGAGTGTGAGATGCTAGAGTTGCTCCTGCTTAAGAAGCGAAAGCTTGAAGCATCGAAAGCCGCCTCAGCTGCTGGGGCATGTGGCAGCACCTACGCTTGAATTAATAGCCATGCAACATATCATGCATAACGAAACCGTGCCCACCAATCCCATAGAGCTTCAACTCAGGCAATATCGACCAGACCGAGACGCTGCCGATGGAGCCTGCACACGCGGAAGCGGTCTTGCAGGAAGCGATGATCCAGGTTCGAGAGTTTGAGGAGCATGTGCACTTGCAGCAGGCACATGATGAGGAGCCCCCCCAGGTCCCATACTTCCAGGCCCGAACGCGAGTCATGGAGGGTCGATGCGATAGTGATGATATGGATGTTCCTGTCCCACTGCCCCAACTGGTGAAAGCTGTGACCGACGACGAGCCTGAGACCCCGTGCCTGAGTCCGAACGAAGCTGTGCTAAGTTCTGAAAAGGAGCAGGAACCAGTCATGCCGCCCCAGGAGGTAGCAGAGGAGCCGCCCCAGAAGGTAGCACAGGAGCCCACCCCACCCCAGGAGGTGGAAGCGGCCGAGCCAGCTTCGATCAGCAAAGGTGGAAAAAAGAGCAAGCCGGAGCAGGAGACAGCACCTCCTAGCGAGGAGGTGGAGCTTGTGTCGAAGCCTGCTTGTGTGAGAGAGCTGCCCGTGCTGTCCCCACAGGAGCAGGCAAAGCACGCACGCGACGTGAGGAATGAGCCGCATGCCGAAGCCCCGAAGACACGCAAAGGAAAAGGAAAGGGAAAGAAGAATGGAAAGGGTAAGGGTAAGGGGAAGCCCAAAGCAAGCGATAGTGATGATCCAGAAGAGCCCAAAGCGCCATCGGAGGAAGCAATGGAGGACGACGAGGAGGCACAGCCCAAAGCCCCCAAGAAGAGACGATCGAAGGCAGCAAAGGAGGCGGATCATGAGTACGAGGAGCCACAAGGTAAGAAGAAGCGATCGAAGGAAGCAGGGGAGGACGAGGAGCCACAGCCCAAAGCCCCCAAGAAGAAAGGATCGAAGGCAGCAAAGGAGGCGGATGAGTACGAGGAGCCACACAGCAAAGCCGGTAAGAAGAAGCGATCGAAGGAAACAGGGGAGGACGAGGAGCCGCAGCCCAAAGCCAACAACAAGAAGAAGGCAGCAAAGGAGGAGGAGGAGGAGCCACAGCCCAAAGCCAACAAGAAGAAGAAGGGAGCAAAGGAGGAGGAGCCACAGCCCAAAGCCAACAAGAAGAAGGGAGCAAAGGAGGAGGAGCCGCAGCCCAAGGCTAACAAGAAGCAGGCAACGAAGGAGACAGATCGGGATGCAATCTTGGAGGAACGGCGGATGCGAAACTGTCGCAAAAGCAAGGCATACCACAGTGCAAAGAACGCCGCTCTGAAAAGCGGTTTGAGTGATGAAGAAGCCAAGAAGAAGGCACAGGAGGTATCTTGCATTATTTGCATGTTTTATGTCACATGATGGAGTGATCGATGTTCACTGCCATGGTTATGTGCATGTGTACAATCAGCTGTCTTCTGTGCGAGCACTATCTAAGGCATACAAGAACACGGACTGAATGCTGGTGACCGCTGCCCCGGGTCATCTGTGTGCTTCCACATGTGTTGGCCTCTTTTTCTATGCCGAAGAAAGTTTTCATGGTACGTTGAGGGGTGACACTCAACCTCTGCCTTTAGCTTCGCATGCTGCAAAAGCTTGGGCCTGCACAGGCCTAGGGGAGACGGGCCTTGTAAAGTGCACATGTTCCATATCCTGAGCCTAGCAGTGTGCACGCGAGCTTGACAACGATCGCTGCACCGCAGTCCGAATGAGAGCTGGCAGCAAAAGTGCTGATGTGCATTTCGAATAGAGTGGTAGAGCGGATGTGCCACACAAAGCTTCCTGTCGGCATGGTCTAGCTGTGTGAGACTTACACATATTGGCCAGGTGTTTGGTACGTGGAGGACTACTTCAAGGTCTTCCTGCTGTTGGATCTCAAGAAGCTGGTGTACATGTGACCCCCCCAAAGCTACTGTAACCGAAGCCTTCATGCACACATCGTGCAGGTACTTCTGCTGAAATCTACATGCACTGCTTCAGCAGTGCAGGCGGGAGACTATGGGCGGTTAGCATGCCAGATTCCCGCTGCAGTTTCGCGATGATCTAATTAAAGATCGCATAGATCGATGTCTCGGCTACGTTACAAAAATCTTAAGCCTGAAGCCGGTTTGTATACTATATATGGTTATCAAGTAT